TCTAAATTGTCCGTAGGTGTGAATGTGAGTGTGCTTGGTTGTCTGTCTCTAAGTGTAGCCCTGTGATAGACTGGTGACCTGTCCAGGGTGTCCCTGGAGCTTAGTTTGTGGCTTCCAGCTGTTTGTAGGAGTCTTTCCTCTGAGTTTATTGATTAGCTGCAGCATCAAACAGCAGCAAAATGGATATGTGCATCCCTAAAGTCAGAGAGCTGCATGCATCTACTCACACAACAAACCTAATTACTTATATTAGAAATAATCCTCAACATGGAGACAAGATTAAACAGGATCTAACAGATGACACTGTGGACTTTCCTGCAGACAGGTGAGCTGAGTCATAGTTTATAAGCTGCAGTTAAACCACTAGATACACCATAAAGTCTGATCCATTTACTTAGATTTCTGTTGTTTTTTGGGAGATTTGCAGCAGTGACCTCATTGTGTGAATCGATGCATCAGAGAACATGACCTCTTTTAAAGTAGCTACCAAAAATACTTGGGTGTAGTCAGATGAATTGACGTCACATATGGGCAGAATTTTCAGTCGTTAAATGATGAGTAAACTACAAACTATGGACGTTTTGCTTATGGGTGAACTTTTTCCCCTGAACCCTTTACGGGGAGAGTGACCATATTTGGTAACTTGTTGAAGAACCATGTGCGCTTTGATCTAGATTTTATATTAGTGCCAATATCACTACCTTACGAAAAATGTCACTAAACAAATGTTCCAGGCTCTTTATAAACGCTTTGGTACTGGTTTGCATTGAACTCCACTTTGAGTTATTTTTTGAGATCAGTCCCACTAAAACCCCAAGAACAACATTACTAAATGAACTTTCCAAGCACTTTATAAATACTTTGTTACTGGTTGTGTCAGTATCATTACCTCACACTAAAATGTTTCTAAATAAATGTTTTTTGCAGTTTGTTTCTTTTTTTAACCGTAGACGAGATATTGTAGCTTTATTAATCTTGAGTTGCAACATTTTTTTTTTAAAGTCACAAAAGTAAAAATATCTTGAAATATCCTTCAGTAACAGCCTCGGGCTGAAATGTTCATTTTCCAAGTATTTCAAGTAGCGCTCTATAAAGGGCTAAATACACTGGCATCCTTTCTCCTGAAAACAAAATGTTTAATGTAGCTGTATGTGTCTCTGCACATCTTTTATTAGTATCAGTGTCAAATAAGAACCCAGTGTATATTAGTTACCTTTCATACCGTAATTTTCAGACTATTGAGCGCACCTGAATATAAGTCGCACCCACTAACTTTAAAAAGAATACTAAAATTGTACATATACAGGCCGCACTTGTCTATAAGCCGCAGGCGTCCACGTTGTAACATGACATATTTACACTGAAAGACTTTTTAAACTTTTAATTAAATACGTACCGTTAACATACACAAATATGTAAATGCTTTTTTCCGAACAGTGCCTGTAACATGGCTTGTTAAAAGAATATATAATACAGTAGCCGACTAGGAAAAGTCGGTAACACTTTATAACAACTATCCGTTATAACTAGTTAATCGATCATTTGTAAACTGTTAATTAGTGAGTTATTAACCACTTGTTAAGTGTTTGTTAATAGTTTGTTGATGATTCATAACGATGCCTTATAGATAGTTAATAAACCATTTACAAACTGTTAGTTAATGAGTTATAAATGACTTGTTAACTGTATATTAATGATTTACAGCCATACCTTATAAACCAGTCATAGATCATGAACAAGCCACTAGTGAATTACTTACTAATGACTTGTTAAGTATCAGTTAATAGTTTATATATGTTACTGGGACGTTATTCTCAAGTTGCAACTATTCCTCATTTATTCCTCATACAGCACGACAGAAATCCTGACATCCAGTCATGGCTTCAGGGTTTCGTGTGCCACCCCAACATGTTTCAGCGGCCCTATCTTGCCACCCTGATGAAACTTTTCTCAAGTCGCCCCTGGTTGCTGGAACATAAAGTGATGCTTTGTATGTAGCTATTTGCGTGATTTTCACACTGCGCTCCTTCTTTCATGCAGATTTGGGCCTAGAGTCTTCATCGTGGTTTTGTCCCATTGAAGACGGAAGCTTTCAGTGACGGCCAGCGCTGACGGACCCTGCTGGGAATCAGGAGTGTGTTCAAACACATCCTTCAGTCTGACAAACACACAGGAGCACAAACGTGTCTGAATGAGAATGTATCATAATATCATAACCATAGAGTGGATATTTACTCACACTGAAAGTTGAACAAGTTTGGATTACCAGTCTTTGTTATTGCTAGCTTGATGACTGATACTGTGTAATTATTAGTGCTGTTACTAACATAGTGAGAAATAACGACGTGTAAAGAGCCAAACTGACCTGTAGAGATCATCAGCATGACTAACTTGCCATCTGCAGACAACATCAGCGATTGTCTTGTACATGATGCACACTAGTCGACTGTCCCTAGCCTTGAGAGAGCCACACCTGCCCAGAGCCCTGCTGTAGGTGTGCACACTGTTACTACCACTACTGTCCTTGCATGCGTTATTTAAACGAAGACAGCGTTACATGTAACCACGATTTCTTTTCTTATTTCAAAACACATAAAGCTCGACAGCTTAGAGCGATTTCTTGTGAGGAAAATAAAGATTTTGAGTACTTTTTGTGGCGTGTGTGATCAATCCCACCGCTTCACACACAGGACGCTTTGTTTCCTTTTAACTCACTTGTTTCTGACCTCATCCGCAGGCTAACCAAAGAACTGTTTGCCAGAACACATAAAGGTGACCCGACGTGTCGCGTTACTCACACAAAAGAATGGCGAGAGCCGAGCAAAGCCTCTGATTTTCACTGACTGTGCCACGCAGAGACATTCATCCCGTACACAGGCTGCATTCAGCTTCAGCCTCCCAGCACTGAGGATGACCTAGATTCACTCCCAGCGGCTGAGATTTGCATTTTTTTTTTCTCCCTTATTTTGTGGAGGAGAGAAAAGGAAACAGCTCAAGACCTGACGAGTCTTTCACTATGACGATGAGTGAAACCAGTGAAGCGTTTGAAGAGCAGAGATTGACGCTGTGAAAATGTAATAGGTTGAGAAAGTGAAAGTGTTCCTGCAGTGTGTTGTGTTGCTGCTGCGTGGCTCCTCTCCGGTTACACTGTCTGCCTGTAGAGGGCAGAGCAGTTTTCAGATGTAACACTTTGAACAATTCGCTGCTGTTTTACAGATTTTTGCTGTTTTGTTACGTGACAGATTATAATTATTAAAATCACAAAAAAGAATGTGTTAACATACATGTTATAAGTAAAAAAAAAAAAAATAGACAAAACTGTGAATAATGTGCACATTAGCGATCTGTGTCTTTACAACTTGTTCTTTTTCAACATTTGACAGTAAAATCGCTCTGTTGGCTGCATTTAAATCAGCAAAAATATTATCACTTTACGGATTTTTGCTATTATTTAAAAACAAATATGTAAATTAAGGATTTGAAAGTAGGAGATATTTTGTTTTACAGATTTTCACTGTTTTGTTAAATGACACATATCTTCATAGAAAAATTATTAATTTACATTTTGAATATTAAAAAAAAAATCAAGCCAAAACCAAATCACATCAAAAATCAGTATCTTTACAAATAGTAATCGTTCTTTTACAACATTTGACAGTAAAATTACAGTTTCATCGTATTCAAATCAGCAAAAAATGACTAGATTACTAGAAATTTGCTTCTATTTTCACCATTTTTAAAGTTTCGGAACATTACGGTATTCCACTGTATCTGGTGTCCTTGCTGCTAGATTTTTACTAATCTTTTACTAATCCTTCACGCACGGCGGGACTGTGATCCGGCATGTCGAGTTTGGGGCAGATCGGAGCAAGTGTGGCGTAG